AAAGAATACTTCGTTTGTTGAGTTTTACTTACGAAGTAGACAGAAAAGGTACCTGGCAAAAAGATGGTTCGAAGCGAGCCGTCACTCAAACGGGCCGAAGGCCCGTTTTCGGATAGAAGATGTATTACACCATATTAATTCAGAAGGGACGGACCGAATGCCCGTCCCAAACGCCGCCGGCAGGCCAAGCTGGGCCCGCTCCCTGCCGAACCGAGTTGCCGGTGGAGCGAAGCGGAGCTGGCAACTTGGTTTGGCGGAAGAGCGGGCCCAGCTTGTTCCTTTTTGTTAATGTTTTTGATCTCCAAGGGACGGAACCAGTACAATCGTATGCACACGAAGACATAATCATTCAATTAATCACATCAATAGATTGAGCGTTGAAAATTACTAGAGAGGGAAGTCGTCAAAACTGGATGGTTAGTGTTGTGGCTCTTCGTTGTGAAGTCACCACAATAACAAAACAAACAGCAAGGCAAGCGCCTTATAAAAACTACTTAGTGGGCATTCCCCGGCAGTGGCAACTTCTACTCGTAGTTACAATTCACTGGTAATCGTGTCAACGAACCTAGAAAGGATAGCTTAAATGGAGTACGTACTGCAGCGCCCGTGACCCCCCTCCTCAGAGTGCTTGGCACGCTCTGCAGGCTCTACTATTGGGCCGATTACAGAAAATTTGGTATCGACGGACTCGGAAAGGTGTGAGGATGGGCTAGTTGACGACAGAATTGAACAAAACTCACCGGGGTGGGGCGTAGAGGGGCCTAAATGATCGGCACCGACGCTGTCCGCATCCGCTGCAGGAGCTGGCTACCTGCGCGGCGGGGCCGCCGGGTCGGGCGGGCGGGCGAGAGCCGGCCGGGCAGGAGGGGAGCGAGGCGCTTCCCGGAACAGGCCGGCTAGGGCCGGCTAGTGTGATTTTGGGCGGGTCCAAATTTTGTCCGTCCGAGCTCAAATATTGAACAGCTTCTTACGGAAATGGACTGAGGACTTCAAGACGTTTCAAACGATTCCAAACGCCTCCCCAATATTCAAATTTTGGGTTTTTGGGTCTAGTCACGGTAGTACGTGGATAACACCCAAAATTTGAATATTGGGGTGGCGTTTGGAATCGTTTGAAACGTTTTGAAGTCCTCTGTCCATTTCCGTAAGAAGCTGTTCAATATTTGAGCTCGGACGGACAAAATTTGGACCCGCCCAAAATCACACTAGCCGGCCCTAGCCGGCCGGTTCCGGGAAGCGCCTCGCTCCCCTCCTGCCCGGCCGGCTTTCGCCCGCCCGCCCGACCCGGCGGCCCCGCCGCGCAGGTAGCCAGCTCCTGCAGCGGATGCGGACAGCGTCGGCGCCGATCATTTAGGCCCCTCTACGCCCCACCCCGGTCAGTTTTGTTCAATTCTGTCGTCAACTAGCCCATCCTCACACCTTTCCGAGTCCGTCGATACCAAATTTTCTGGAATCGGCCCAATAGTAGAGCCTGCAGAGCGTGCCAAGCACTCTGAGGAGGGGGGTCACGGGCGCTGCAGTACGTACTCCATTTAAGCTATCCTTTCTAGAACGAACGTATGTCCAAAAAAATCGAGTCGATTGGATGTCGGTCCATTTTCAGAATATATAGTTTTCGTGTCAAAATACCTTTAAATAAAAAAGTTGATTTTTTTTGGACATACGTTCATTGACACGATTACCAGTGAATTATCCAAGCACATGTCATTTAACCACCTCTGAAGTGCAGACGAAAACACTGAGAAGGGGTTATTAGACATGGGTTGAACACAAACGTGAGGAGAGTACATCACTCAATTTATCCAAAAACATGAAGCGAGTTCGTTTGCAAAGGTTGGTACCATTGTTAGAAGCTACGCCTCCTTTCTACCCAGGATTCTCGTAGCCACGCCCATTTTCTAAACAAACTGTGCAGCTTTGATTTTAAACCGTTAGAAGTTGTGATTGGAATATCTTATGGCATCGAATAAAAGCTTATTCGGTAGCGTAAGGAACAGTGCACAATCGGTTCGCTTACATTACCCTGTTCAAATTAACACCAACTGCACTAGAAATTAAAGATAAGACGCGAAAAATAAGCGGGAATGTCGCACATCATTTAGCTTGGTGTCGCTCTCGACTGGAAAGTCGTAGGAAACTTTTGAACACATCGTTCGGAAGCTTAATTTTCGGTCTTGAATTTTTGTCTCATGCGTTTTGCTGTTAAGTGAAAATTTAAGCCACAGGGATCGACAGAAAGAATAATAGAAGTGCGAACCATTGTTGGCTTGGCAGCATTTTGCTGATTTTCGTGATAATTTTGATGTTTAACTTTAATTTTCTCAAAATTGGCCAGAAGGATTTCAATGAGGTGATAGTCAAATAAAATCTCATTTTTTGATTGATTTTTCGTTAAAATTTCTTTAAAATCTGTATTACAGAAGTGGCTGTACCTTTATAAAAAATGGAGAAAGAAGAAAAATTCTAACGCTAACGCGTTAACGGCCCCCTTAGATTTTAATGTTAGCAATGGAATAATAATGCTACAACGATTCATTACATTAGATACTGATGTTGATTAGATTCATTAAATGATCTACTAAAAATCTTCATATTTACTTACAGTGGTTAATTTCCTATGCACTGAAAATTCTAACCAATTTGTCTATTAGAAATATTTCTAAGTTTAGTATGCTGATCGTTCGCCAAGCTAGCTTGCTCAAATGAACACCGCCATTACATTCACGACAAGAACCGCGAACTTTTAAAAAATATTACTAACACAGCGTCAGATAAGAGATCACTGATAAGTGTTTCACGTATTAAAAACACGTACACATTTAGACGTGTTCTATATTGTATGTTGACCCTTATAATCTTAAATAAGGTAAAAACATAATATATATTTTCAGTTATAGGTTGGCTGCATCAGTATACTTTCCGCCCCTTTTCAAACGAAATTATTAAAAGGCGGAACTACCGTCCCAGCCAACAATCAAAGCCATGGCTGGCGCTCAGCGGCCGCGTTCAAAACGGCGTCTGTGTTGTATCTTTATACACGGCGGCACGACAGTATTATTTAAACGCGACCACCGAATCGACGCCAGGGCCAAATCCGCCAAATCGTTTTTGGGTAGGGTTGTACAAAGCAACAGGCGATCGATTCCATTGGTCGAACTTTCCCGCGCAAATTTGTGATTGGCCGAAATTTACCTGGCTCGACTCGGCCTGCTGCTCAGCTCGTCATTTCCATGGAAACGCGTGGATGCAAACTCAAATTTCTCAAATTTCATCAGACAA